CGGGCTGCGGGCTGCGGGCTGCGGGGCGGGAAGCACCTGTTGGCCTCCGCGCGGCGGGGGTGCGAGCGCTGCGGGCCGCAGACTTTTTAGTTGTGGTGTTTTTGGTTGTGTACACTCCGTTTGGGAACGGACCGCGGAGCTGGATCTTTTTCACACCCCTTTCCTCTGTCGCCCTCCCTGCCTGCTGCCGCCCACAGCCCACCATGAAAAGATTTACAGAAAATGAAGCGGATGCCCAGTGATTGTTTTTTCCCTCCAAAGAAAGAAATTCAACTGGGGAGGGAAATAAGGACAAAAGATGTCTCCAGTAAAGGAGTGTTTATTAAGAGGGGACCTATTTTCAAGTTGCTCACGTGAGGGTCATGACTACAGAGAACTGGCCTCATTGTTTACCACTTGTGCCATTAGGTTGCACTAATGCAGAGACTGCAAAAGCCCGAGCTGCAGGAACCCAGTAAGTACGATTCCCCAGCCCCGTGTCTGCTCCGGATTGACAGCTTTGATGTCCATTTTCTGTGCTGAGAATCTGAAATTCTATTTTGGATAGATGGTAGACACGGAAGACATCACTTTCCCCACCCCAGCCCTTTTGGTTCAGTTGCATTTCTTCTTCTACATAAAACATAGCCACAGTAACCTGCTGTGACTTGGCCAAGAATGTTATTCTTTCCACCCACCAGCCCCTCACTCTCCCAAACTCCTTCCCAGGCAGCCACGCCAGACTTACCTCTTTCGGGGAACCTTTCCAGGTGCTTCACCTGAGCAAGCTGCCCTACCCCTGCATGTGTACACCATACCCATGGCCTCTGCTGTGTTCTAGTAGGTGTAACAGATGTTTGCTGAGCACCTGCCCAGTGCCAGGAACTCATCCTGGGTGTCACTGAGTTTTACAGATGCGTGCTAGTCCCCCCCACCCCTTCCTGTGGGCTCTTGGGGGACAATGGTGGCATGTTTGAGGAATGGTGATACTCAGGATCCTCTAGACCCTTGTTCCCCCTCTCCTTGTGCCTTCTGCTTAAGGGGCGGGAGCAAAGCACTGCCTTACCACAGACATGTGGCAGGGTTTGGCCTTTACTGGACACACACACACACACACACACACACACACACACACACAACTGCATGATCTTAGTTACCAGTCTGGTTAGTTTTTTGTTGTTGTTTTTTCAGTACTAGGAATTGAACTCAGGACCTTGCACTTGCCAGGCAGGCACTTGTGCCACTGAGCTGTATCCCCGGCGTTAGTTACCAGTCTAAACAGTAGTCTTTATGTTTTTTGTTAGTTTCACTTGGTTTGATTGGTGCTGGGGATTGAACCCAGGGCCTTGGGCATTCTAGGTATATGCTCTACCCCTGAGCTAGATCCTCAGTCTGTCTTTTCAATTTTGTTTTCTGTTTTGGCATTGGGGATTGAACCCAGGGCCCTCGCACTGAGCTACATCCCCAGCCCTTTTTGTGTTTAGTTTTTTATTTTGACTCACAGTCTTGCTAAATTGTCCAGCCTAGGCTCAGAATGACCATCCCCCTGCCTCAGCCTCTTGAGTAGCTGGGATTACATACTGCTGTGCCGCCACAGCTGGCTCGTTTTCCCTTTTAGCACTGAGGCTGCTAAAGCTGTTTCTTTATACTGAAGCCAGTGTTTCTTTAACGTCCATTGATTCTTACCTCTCTCCACCACAAAAAAAGAAAAAAGTCCTCCTTTATTTTGTTTCGATTGATTGATTTACAGTGCAGCCAACTCACGGCCTCCAGGATTCTAAGTAAGCACTCCATCTCTGAGCCACACCCCTAGTCCGGGCCTCTTACCTTACAACTATTCTCTGATACTTTTCATTAGAGAGACATTTGGTTTGTTTGTTTCTGAGTAGTTAGTCTGATCGTCTCCAAAGACTCTAGGAAAATTCTTTTTTTCTTCTTGATGCTGGGAATTGAGCCCAGAACGTTCCTTACACATGTGCTCTACCACTGACCTACATTCCCAAGTGGGAGAATTTTGATAAGTGACAATTGGAAAAAGTTGTGAATTACCAAGACATGGGAGCTAAGGATTCTGGGGAGGTCAGGGAAAGATACATTCAGGAAAAAGATCAAGGAAAATCAATTCTGTCAGCTGAGGGATGTTCCGCCTGTGATAGAGACCCTGGGATTCTTCCGAAAACGCATCAGCAGCTGATAATAAAATGCAAAGCCTGGAGCTAACCAACTGTTGTCCACACCCAGAAAAGGGTTAAGAGCCCCCATTCTGCCATTACTTAGCAGCTTCCAGGCACTTGCAGGACCTTGGAACCAGGGCCAAGGGTCTGTGAGGTGTTGAGTTTGCTAGCCATCCTGTGACAGTGACAGCATGCTGCTGTCATGAGCCACTTGGCAGGATTTTAAACTTGACCGAGAGTTACCTTTCCCCAGCATCTTGTAAATCTCTAGACCACCTTGCAAATTGCATATTACTCCCATTTTGCACATTGGGTAACAGAGATTGAGTCAAGGTTCCAGGGATACCAATATGTGGCGCATTTTGAATCAAACTCTGGGGAACCCCTCAACACAAGCAAAGCCCCACCTGCTTTGTTCCATCCTGCCAAATATCACCTACCTGCAACACACAAGGCATAACTCCCCTGAGGGCTGAGATCCCTTTTTGGTTCCCCTTTGTATCTTTGAATTTTTCCTTCCCTTAAGAAGGGTCTTTGAATGTTTGATTGCATTTTATTCAGCATGTGATTAAATAAAATAGTTTAAAATTCCCAGCCTCTGTTCTTCCACTTCAGTTTTCTGGGGGAGCATTTTGTATGGTTCCTACATCCTCCCGCTTCTTGGTGTTTGCACGAAAACTAGGCTTGGACATGTTTCAAAACTATAACTGTGGGAAACTTTGTTATTAATGTAGAATTAAGAAATATGTAGTAAATTCTTCCAAAAGAAAAGTTGAAGCTGAGTGTGATGTTGGATGCCTATAATCTCAGCACTCAGGAAGCTGAGGCAGGAGAATTGCTGCAAATTCAAGGCCAACCTGAACTACATAGTGAGACCCTGTCTCAAAAGAAAAGAAAAGAAAAGAAAAGCACGAAGGAAGGAAGGACAGGAAAGGAGAGAGAAGAATGAAAGGCTAAATTATAGACAGGTTATCAGTAGTCTTGTGGGAGGTGGAGGATGCAGAAATTGAGCAAAGTCGCGGGGAGAGAGAGACAAGGACAGGGGCCTTGAGGGTGGAAACCTGGATCGCAGGGCGGTAGAGGTGTGGATTCCCTTGGGTTCACCTGTTATCTCCTGTGATTCTGCACTGCTTAGAATAGCACCAGTGTGGGCTGTTAGGCTCTTTGGGAGCACCTGTCGTCCTGCTCCTTGAGCTGGCAGTTTCCTCTTTTGTCCCCTCTTTGTGATGGCAGTGACCTTTTCACCTTTATAATCCCTAGGGCAGTGCCTTACAGGTGAGTGCTGGAGAGGTGCAGCCAGCAGGGAGCCTCTTTTTCCCCAAGTGGGGAGGAAGGACCCTGGGGGCCCGGGAGCTGTTGGGACAGGGCAGCTCTGGGGGAAGGAGAGAGGCCTGTGGTTACTCTCCTCCTCCCTGGGAAGATGGGCCTAAAGTCCCCAGCCTACAGAGCCTGCCTGGGGCCCTTTCTTTCCCTTTTCCTTTCCCCTCCCCTTTCCTTCTCCTTCCTTCTCTCCTTTTATTTTAATTTTGAGACAGGGTCTTGCTGTGTAGCCCACATTGGCCTTGAACTTGCAACCCTCCTGCCTTAGTTTCCTTAGTGCTGGGATGACATGCGAGTGCCACCACAGCTTACTGGGTTCTGCCCTCTGGGAGTGCTGACTTCCTCTAGGAGCCTGGGAAGTGTGCATGAGCACACGCTGCATCTTTGGAGCAGTGTTTTTGTCTCCTGCTTCCTGGAGCTCTGTCCACCAGGCGCACCGGCAGCTTGCTGTCCAAGTCTGGTGGACACCCGGTTCTGGTCCGGCTTTGCAGCCTTTGACACTGACCTGCTCCTTCTGTGCGAGCCTGGTGGCCTCTTCTCACCTCAGGACAGCTCCTAAGGCTCTAGGGGTGAAAAGGTGAGGAAGTAGGGGCCCAGCTCACCTGCTGAGTGAAGACGGTGCTGAGCAAAAGCCAGAGAAAAGGAGAGGAAGCCACTGGGCTGCCAGGGCCTGGCCTGCTGGGGTGAGGCGGCTCGGCTCAGCTCGGCTTGGCTCGGCTTGGCTCGGCTCGGCTCGGCTCGGCTCGGCTCGGCTTGGAAGAACGAAGGGGAGCCCGCATCCATTAAGTGTCAAAAGCTGCTGGGGTTCGGTTTTATTTCTCAGTATTTCTGTCTTTAGAAGTGTGGTAACTGCACCATATGGACATGGGCCTGATTCACAGTCTCTTAAAATAGTTTTATGTGCTTATATTTTAGGAGAGAAACTTCTGGAAACCAGAAAATTGTTTTGCTTGAAAACTTACCCCACATTACTCTCTACTGGGGGGTGACAAGCTGCCTTCCAGGTCCAGGGGATCACAGTGTCCTGCAGTAGACACGGCTCGCTGGCATTGTCCAGAATTGCCAGTCAGTGATTTACAGTGGTTCCCGATTGGACAGTAGATCCTATTGTAAAAGCCCGTTCCTACACTGGTTGCTTGAAAACTTGGCCGTGATTTCCCCAGTTGCAGTAGTAGCCAGTGTCTAGTTTAAAGATGAGTTAAGCTGGGCGAGGTGGCACCCGCCTGGAACCCTAGCACTCTGAAGAGTTGAGGCAGGAGGATCTCAAGTTCTAGCCCAGCCTGGGCAACTTGGTGACTTAGTGAGATCCTATCCCAAAACTTTAAAAAAAAAAAAAAGGCTGGAGATGTAGCTCCGTGCAGAGGCCCTAAGTCAATCCATAGTACCACAAAAAATAAGTAAATAAAAATAAAATAAATTGTGAGCTATGCCAGGCCCTCTTTGAGTGCTGGTGAAAGGATGTTGGTCAGGACAGAAGAGAGCCTGAAATTTAAATTTGCGTGAGGCCCTTGCACGGTGAATCCTGGCCTGCCTTTGAAGGATGCCGGTGAGTGCTGGGAACAGACCAGGCTCAGTGGAGGCCATGGCAAAGAGGCGGCCTTGCCAGGCTGGAACAGGCAGGCTCTTCGGGTGAGGACACCTCGAGGGCAGGGCCTGCCGGTGAAGGTCTCCAGATAGGGCGAGTGCAAGGTACATCAGGGAAACAGCAGGCTGCTTCTGGTTGGAAATGGAAGTCTTTCTTGCCTTGTGATGACCTTTAGTGATTTTTTTTTTTTTTTTGGTACCAGGAACCAAACTCAGAACGTTGCACTTGCCAGGCAGGCGCTTGTGCCGCTGAGCTATATCCCCAGCGACCTTTAGTGATGACTGTGCGTGGCCCTGTGCTGAGCAGTGTGACTGACTTGGTGTCCTCCCCCAGTCTAAGTGAATAGCGTCACCTCCGCTCCGGGGGAGGAGTGAGACTCAGACCAGGCGGCGGTGA